ACACACACACACACACACACACACACACACACACACACACACACACACACACTAGTTGACCAACTGTGTGTAAAACATGTTGTCTGCAAAGTTAAAGTGTGATTCTGTTCACGAACACTTTCTCCAGGTAGGTTTCCACGAAACAAAATCTGTTTTGTATTTTTAATTAATAAATTTTTATTTTTAGTAGCCTAATGTTGAGATTTCAGTTAGTCCACCTGCAGATAGTCAGGCACACACAGCTGGGGGAGCATGTCCCACAGCAGTGTTGGATTTAAAAAATGTTATAATATTATTTTTTTCTGAATATTTTCAGGTTCAGTAGAAACTGGTACAGAGGATAAGGCTCGCAAAATCAAGGCTGAATATGAGAAGAAGCTGAGCATCATGAACAAGGAGCTTCAAAAGCTCCAGTCGGCCCAGAAGGAGCATGCCCGCCTACTCAAGAACCAATCACAGTACGAGAAACAGCTGAAGAAGCTTCAGATGGATGTGGCAGAAATGAAGAGGACTAAGGTATGGACTAAGGAGATATAACTGTACCAGATATGACACTCATGTAAACTGGAGATGCGGGCTCTCTAGTTTACATGTGTGCTGTTACTAAGCCCAATATTGTTTAATATGATCTATCCAGGTCCGTCTTATGAAGCAGATGAAGGAGCAACAGGAGAAGAACAGGATGAACGAGTCTCGCAGAAACCGAGAAATAGCTTCTTTGAAGAAGGACCAGCGCAAGCAGGAGGTTAGTAACAGTCTGTTTATAAACTTCTGCAGTTATATCACGGTCTGTGCCACGAGTTTCATTACTTTCTTTGATGATACTATATTCATGTTTCCTCCTCAGCATCAGCTGAAGTTATTGGAAGCTCAGAAAAGACAGCAGGAACTTATTCTGAGGAGGAAGACTGAGGAGGTGAGAGGCATCAAAAAATATTTCTGACAGAGGAAGCAGATTGAACTTTTTTTTTAATTGTACTTGTGAGACTGTAGATGCAAGCATATGTCCGGTATATGTTGTGTTTACACATTTTTTGGTGTGACAAGTAAGCTCTGTGTGTCAGGTGACAGCTCTGAGGAGGCAGGTCAGGCCTACCTCGGGTAAGGTGATCCGAAAGGTCAATCTTCCAGAACCAGTCCAGGACTCCTCACACAGACCCCCCTCTGGACGCATGTACTCCTCCAGCAACAGTGTTCCCAATGGCACTTGGTGAGTCTGTGTGCACGCAAATGTTTGCTTGAGTGCATAATTTTTTACTTTTTTAAAGAGGCCGGCTGGAAGGAAGGTTCTGAGATGTACACATTGCAGAAATTTTCAGGAAACAGTGAACACCCTACCTGCCTCATTTCATAAAATGAAACCTAAATCTCTTCTTCAGTTATTTGCATCTGTGATTAGTACCCCAGGAGATTGCTGCAGGGAAAGATCATCTAATCTAAACAAGACTTTAAACTTCAAAAATGTCCCTGGATGGCACGACCATGCTGCCCAAAGATCTAGGCAAAACTGTGGCTAGCAGTTGAAATTCTTATTAACAGTATAGCTTTAGAGTTGAATTGGTGGATAAAAGTATGGATAAACGGTTACAAGTATAAGCTGACCGCATGAAATGAAAGATAAACAGATGAATGTTATTAGGTAAAACATACGGTTAGTAGTTTAAAGTATTAACACATGGATGGCTATTATGTAAAACTTTTAGCTGTCAGAATGAATAAAAAATCAATATATTTGATAAACTCTTAAAATGTGTACTAATTAAATATCCCAAAAGGACAAATAGTTGAAACACTTCACTAATCCTAAATTATGTTAAGCTAAAAGTCCAAATCCACTTTAAAATGCACACAATGTGAACATTTGAGTTGTTGTCGATGGAGGGTTTCTTAATCACTTTCTACATTCTCCCTGGATTTGTACATTTAGGTGTTAAATAAGTGGCTGTATTAATCGGACAGTTTACTGATGAGTGATGCTGCATGTACAGGTCTTCTTACAGGCGCACAGGAAGTGTTTACAGCACCAGAATGGCTCGCAACAAATGGCAGTCCCTGGAGCGGCGTATCTCTGATGTCATCATGCAGAGGATGACCATCTCTAACATGGAAACCGACATGAACCGCCTTCTCAAGGTAAAAACCTAAAGCAGGACAGTTGTATAGATTTTGAATGTTAGCAGATCAGGAGAAAGACCTAAAAGATATCTTGCTAGACGCCTGGAAGACATTAAATTGTTCTTTTATCTTCAGTAGGGAAATTTTAAAATCTATGACCTTGTGGCTGTTGTTAAGCGTAATGCAGCAAAAACAGTTGTTTCATTTAATATTGCTCTGCATCCTTGTGTGTTTCCTTATCAATGAGCTTCAAAGAACATGTCATTGCTTTAGGTTAATTTAATCATCGTCTGTGACTTTTCCCATATTCAGAAATGACTCAGTGATTGAAAATATATAAGAATTTGTTTCATTTTTAACACACAGCAAAGGGAGGAGCTCACCAAGCGCAAGGAGAAGGTCCTCAGGAAGAGGGACCGGCTGCTCAGAGAGGGGCCAGAGGCAGAGAAGACTGTTCTTCCCATCAATGAGGAAGTGGAAGCATTGACAGCCAACATTGATTATATTAATGACAGTATTGCAGATTGTCAGGCCAACATCATGCAGATGGAGGAAACCAAGGTGAGAGAGCCTGCTGATTCTGGAAATTGGCAGCCAGATATTGAAAACCTCAGACGGGTTGTTTAGCTTGTTTTAAGCCTTTTTTTCCTGAACTGAGATGTTTTCAGGCCTGCTTCCAGAATAAAACGACCGGGTGTGAATCAGCAGTTAGTGATGGTGATCTCTGCCTATACAGATTAATAGGGCGACCCTCGGGAAAAACCTGGAAACTGTTCAAACTGGTCGTCAAATTGCATCTTTGTTGATTATATAGTGAGTGTCAAAACTTGGGCAGAGGGGAGGTCGCCAGATACCATCTATATAAAAGAAATGGATAGACTGTGGAACGTGAATGACCTTCATTATGTCACAATCAGCTGAAATTCAGCGTTCTTAGCACTTGCTGACTGAAGAGTAAATTTGAAAGAATATATCTTTGATTTAAAATAGTTTCTTCTTTTGTATTTCTTCTTTTTTAAGCTGTATAAAGGGTGTTTCACTCTAACTCAAGAGAGCCCATACACATTTTTACTGTCAGGAAAACTATGAGAGAGTCAATACTGAAACTGTAACAATAACTTCATAGCACAAACACAGTGCCTGAAGTACCGTGGACTCCAGTTCCAAGAGAAAATGTGGCTTTCTCTGATTATTTTGCTAAAAATATGCGTTGTAGCACATAATAAACAACATATGGGCATGTTAACAAGGTTGGAAATTAGAATTTCATTTCTGTTAACTGTGGTCTTCAAATGTTACTTTTTCTTTCTCCCAGGAGGAGGGTGATTCTGTGGACGTCTCTGCTGTGATTGGTTCTTGTACACTGACAGAGGCTCGTTTTCTCCTTGATCACTTCATGTCAATGGCAATTAACAAGGTACCCTCCTTCAGAAAGAGAAATCACACCTGTTCAGTGAAAATATCACCATTTCCTCTCCTTATGAATAACATACAACAAACATGATTATACATAGATGTTATTTAGCTTACGTGTCTTTTATGTGCAAAATAGTAGAAACCTCAGTATGTAGAAAGAAATGCAGTTGTCTAGTAACAGAAACTGTAGGACACCAGTTGACTGTAGGTGGGTTGTAAGCGACCAGGGGAGAAGATCATAATAATAATAATAATAATAATAATACATTTTATTTGAAATGCGCCTTTCAAAACACTCAAGGTCGCTGTACACAGTAGAATAAAAGCAACATAAAAGCAAGAAGTTTACAGAATCATAAAAGCATAAGACATAAACAAATAAAATAGGAGAGTGGAAAGGTTATGTGGGATAAGCTATTTTGTACAAGTGGGTTTTGAGTTTGGACTTAAAGAGAGAGAAGGAAGAGATGTTTCTTAAATCAGGAGGTAGGGGATTCCAGAGTCATGGAGCAGAGCAGCTGAAAGCCTTGCTCCCCATGGTTGCAAGACGGGGGGAGGGGACGGAGAGTGAAAGGGAAGAAGATCTGAGACAACATCTCATGTTGTTGTTGTTTGTTGTTCCTTCACTGTTGATCTTTTATTTAACCAGAATTCAACTTGGATAATTTTTTTTATTAATAACTGATAAAAATTGCCACTGCTGTACAGTAGTCATACAGCCCAAGTATCAGCAATATGACATGCAAGCTCATTTGCATATGTGCACGATATTAAGTTGTAGCATCTGTTCTATGCATTAACTCAGAAACTTCCAACTCTAACCAAAAAATGAAATGAAATGGCCTGACACTGTGGTCTGACCTCTTCAGGGCCTGCAGGCAGCTCAGAGGGAGTCTCAGGTGAAGGTGATGGAGGGCAGATTGAAGCAGACTGAAATTACCAGCGCCACACAGAACCAGCTGCTCTTTCACATGCTGAAGGAGAAGGCAGAGTTTAACCCAGAGCTGGACGCGCTGCTGGGGAATGCTTTGCAAGGTAGAATAAAAAAAATGAAAAGATACAATAAAATAAAAACGTATCCAGTTTGGACCAGGCCCTGCCCACCCACTGAAAGTGTCACTGATATCATGCTAGGCAAAGCTGAGATTAGAATTTAATTCTGGGATGTTTTAGATCTATTTCTCTCCCTGAGTGTACGTGTTTAAATTTAGCAGCATAAATGTTGCTTTCATACTCTTGTTAGAAATGATTTTGCTGTCAGGAGGTGCACTGGGTAACTGGTCAGTTGCATGATTGGGCCTTTTGAGGTGATATTGCTTGTTGCCTTCTGCCGAATAGAAGCTGGCGTCCCTGTTGTACAACCGACAGTTAATTCCATGGTTACATTTTGGTGCTGTGTACACAAGTGTATATACGATCACATTAGTATAATACGGTTTCTATTTACATGCTTGTAATTAAAGCTGATTACTTCTTTTTGTTTTGATATTGAATTTGCCAGCCTCTGTTTGGTAGGATGCTCTGACAGTTGGTGCATTTTATTTTATTTTTATATCTTTTTTTATCGATTTATTCATTTATTTATTTATTTATTTATTTCGAATTTTGGGGGATGGTTTTTGATTTGTGCGTTGCCTTTTTCTGTTCCCCCATCTTTTCTTTTCCCTTTTTTTGTTTTCTTATGTGTTTACAGAGCTAGGTAACATCCCGCCTGGTAAGTGAAACCCTATTGGACTCTAATCGGTTATGAATGCATGGTTCCTTTCCTTTGCACTTTGAGAACTAACTGAACATAACATAAACAGGTGCATGAGGTGCAGTGCAACCAGGCTCCCCTCCATGTGTTGGCTGAAGCTTTCCCCTCTCCTTATCTGGATACACTCCTCCTACCCTCTGTCCTCCCCCTCCTCCTTGCAGCTCACATGTGCTACAGCCTCCATGTTTTAGCACCTGCTAACCCCAGACTCTTCTACAGGAACCATATAACGTGGATATTTTGCTCTGTTAGACCTTGTAGGTCAGCTGACCCATCAGGACCAGCAGACTAATGATTTCTTGCACTCGTCCACCCTGTTATCTCATGTTGGTTCTTTTACATTCATATCAGCTCCCTTACATGTCTCTTTAAAATCTTCCCAATATGACCTCTCTCTGACTTTGAACCTCATCTGTTTTTGAGCCATCTGGTATTAATGAGCTCGGCGAGGGCCAGGTTTATCAATTAAACAGCATGGCGCTGTGCTGACATCACCCCTCATCTGCTTCATCTGTTCATTTTTCTACATGTTATACAAAAGAAATCAAAATTGCAAAGGTTAAAATAAAGAAATTAAATTATTTAAGTCTCTAGCAAAGTATACTTACTAAGAACCATTTTAGCTGACCAGTCATCTCAGCTAAATCACTCCATCTAATATTCTCTGTTCACGGATCTCATCTGACAGAAAACGGGGACGATAGCAGCAGTGACGAATCTGCCCAGAGCCCCTCTGCAGAGGGAAAGTAAGTCTGTTATAGTGCTTAAAAAGTACCATAACAATGTATTTGTAGATTTAAAATATTATCTTGTGGCATATTTTGTCACATTTATGTTAAGTTGCTTCAGTAGTTCATGAATTGTTATATTATTGCATTATATACATATGATGTTTTATTGTATCTTTTAATGAAATTGCATTTTGTCTTTTATGTTCACATTAATGTTTATACTATTCTTATAATTAACTTGTTAATTATGAGAAGTATTGTTTAATTATACTGCAAAGCAGTAAAGCAGAGAGGAGCAGTGTAGTCCAAGCACATTCTATAATGAGCGTTTGCATTAAAAAACTTGTCTGTATTTCCTTCAGCACTCTGGCTACAGATTTCATGAAACTTTGTGGAGAGACCAAAACAAGGAATAAGGTATTGTAGAGTTTGTTGCACATGTTTGATGCCTTATCCTAAAACCATTTCTGTATTTTTAATTGTTCACTTATCTGTGCTGTACAGGCTCGCAGGAGGACGACCACTCAGATGGAGTTGCTCTACGCTAACAGTGACTCTGCCCCTGATGCACCTACTGTCGACTTTTCTAGTCCGATGTTGCCGTTAGCTGAAACACCCGATGCGGGCGGAGACATGGACTTGTCAGGCTCAGTCAGGGACTACGCAGCTCTCTCCCCTGGCTTTTCCTCTAAAATGGGCAGCATGTAAGTTCAGGCCCTGCACTCTTACTAACAGATTAATTTCTCCTTCTCTTTTTCCTGCATGTTGTTGCTGCGCTTCTTTGCTTTATTTGGTTATATATTGTTTACAAGCACCTTCACATTTTGCTATACCTTACAGCAATTGATGAATCTATTTGAGAAAAGCGTGTAGAGACAAGCAAATATTTTGTATTGCTTGATTATTACTGTGCCCTGCAAAAGTCTCCCTTGCCGTTCCTCATTCCAGGTCAGTTGCACACTAATAAAAGAAATACTAACCAGGCTGCATTAAATGTCTCGTGACAAGCAGTGCTTTAAAATGGAGCCAGTTGCTTTATGTAAGAATAAACCTTAGCTGATAATAATCCATCAAAAATGATACAGTTAGAATTATATTTGTGGATGTGCAGCACACACTGCACTCATTGTTAAACATGAGCTTGACGAAGAACCATCACTGTTTTGGAACTGTAACATCAGGTAACTGTATTTCTGTGTGTACTGCATGCTCATCTCGTCATTGTTGCCATTATTTTGTATTGGTTTCATTTCCATTTGTTTTAAAAATCTTTTTTTTTGTTATATTATCTGTGTTGTTTGTGGATAAATCGGTAAAACTGAACATTCAGTTCTGGCTCCAGAAATCTGCCAGGCGTGGAAAAGCGAGCTCCTGAGCCTTCCCCGCTCTCGCGCAGGAAGACCTATGACAAGGCACAAGCAGCGGCTGAAAGGGCAAAGGTCAAGGACATTAAACAGTAAGAGCTTGATGCCATCATCCTGGCTACAGAGCTTAAAGACAAAACTACTTCACTTTGACCCTACTAATACTCCTCCTTCTGGTTTCCTGGTTTGGAAAAGCATGTGGTGTCACCTACATAATGCTCTGCATCTTGTTTGATGACCGTCACATGGCAAGCTCTATGCTTCATTTGAAGTAATTTTTTCCCAACTTAAATAACACGTATCTTCTCTGAGCTCTAATGTTGAAAGCTGGTGATTACTGTATTTTTGATAGTTTGGGATCAAATTCATTGTTTGCTTGCTAATTGATTCGCTTGCTCCTGATGTCCTGTTCAGAAATCGCTCTTTACTTTTCTTTATCTCACCAGTAAGTTTTCCAGCGTAAGATTCAAATAGAAAGATTGAATAGTGAGCGAACGGTTATTATAAAACTGGCTGTGCATCAACTGAAAAATACTGACAGCAGTTTTTGATTATATCTTCAGAATTCTTCTTCATTGCCTGTCGTCCTGTTTTAGAATATGAGCAACTTCAAAAATATTAGTGCTGTGAAAGTGGTCAAGATGTATTTGTAGTACAGACTTGCAGATTAAATCTAAGTGGTTTGTCAAAGTAATGAAAAATAACATTGCATTAACTATTTAGGAATCATAATTATTACATGTGAGCATTATGTCAGTATCTGTAATTATACCCAAGAGTCTTGATTGCAGTGGTTTCGAGGGTTACTGTTTAAAGGTAGTGTATAAAAGCTCATGACTAGATGTCAGTAGATTGCAGTCAACTGAATTCTATTCTTACCGTTCCCAATTTTAAGCACCTAATCCTAGATACAGTGGTCGGTTAAGGACAAACAATGCTGGCCGTCGAGTGTAGACTGCCAATCTGCCGTTTACCTCATCAGTATGCTGCTTGTTTACATCCATTTAATCTGGAGGAGGCTGTAAACCTTCTGAGTCTGATACGAGTTTATGAATCAGTGAAGCTCACTGATGTCTAATGACAATACTGAGGTTAGTTGTTGAGTTTTAGTGGATTTTGTTGCACTTAACATTTTTATGCACATTTTTGTTTATTAGAGCCCTGATATCATTTCAGGAGGTGACGCTTGAGGTGAGGAGGATAAGGTGGAAATGAAGAAGAGAGAGATAAAAATATACATGTACAAATATTAAATTGTTTGTGATCTTTTACAAGTTTATGGATGCGTTTTTATGACATGGCAGGAAAATGCCAGCAACAAGCCGCCTTGTATGGGAAGCATCCTGGGTTGCTGCATTTAAATTGTTTGTGTTTTGACCATTAGGCAAGGACACCCAACAGGATAAACTCTCTAGGCTACAGCATGGCATTTACTCTGCCACCACCCTAGGGCTAAACATGACATTTTTGTTAAAACGAGTCTCTTCATTTTTCTCTTCTTCTTTTTTTCATCCACCATCCACCAATTTCTTTCTGGTGTGCAGTCTAGTCACACACATGCTCAGCTATTGTTAGATTTAAGCAGTCATTAAAAGCTGTTTTGACACAAGATGAATCATTTTTCTTTAAATATATTCCAAAAATTACAGTGTTCAGATTTTTCTCCCAGAGCTCTAATTTGACCTCATTAAAGATGGATTTGGGGGAAAAAGTGTTGCGTATGCTGGGAAGATGGTAAAACCTGTTGAACTGGGGGATTTAGGACTGCATATAAATAAGGTTTTCAGTGAAACAAGGATAATAAATGCCTGAGGTCTGCCAGGCTTTTTGTGTAAAAAGAGAATAAATTGTTGCTCTAAAACAGGAACTTTAATGGCATGATGATTTGTTGACAGAATGATAGTTGCTTACACTGTCAACCAACTGGTAATCTTAAGACACCAGACTGAGCAGCAAACATTTCAGTAATCCTTATTAGCTTCAGATGAGTGTGAACAAGTGACAACGCCTTACTGCCAAAACCATCCTGCTGGTGGCTTCGATGACATAAATGCAGCATGTGCATCTGCTCTCTTCATGCAGTCCTGCCACACTCCTGCCAGCAGTGTTTTAACAGCTTAGTCCACAGTTTAATTATGCAGTAGCTTAATTGGAAGTGATTCTGCCTACCTTCAGAAACCTGAAGAGCTGCCTGCCATTTCCTGTCTCTCCCCTACTGCTTTTCTCAATAGCCACTTAAGCCGTATGACAGGTTACCTAAGGCATACTGCAAATGTTGTGCAGGATCAGATGGGCTTTCTGAAATGTTATTTTGTTAAATGCTGGCCAAATGCGTACTCTGTCCCAAGTAACTGCAATGATGTTTTGGTTAATACATGTGGATTTTGTACATAAATATAATAAAAGACAATGTCAGACATTCAAAGTTTATCAATCAATCAATCAATCTTTATTTATAAAGCACTTTTCATACAGAAAAAATGTAGCACAAAGTGCTTTACATAGTCCATAGACCATATCGATAGCAAACAGAAAATGTTTGTCATCTGATTCCTCTGAACTGGAGAGATCCACTTCAGTGACTTCAGTTAGCTGAGATGAGGCAGAGAAGAGGCCTTTCAGCCACAGTTGTCACACTTATTAATCAAAGTTGCAGCTCCTCTAACAAACTAATAAAGCGCTTACAAATTCTAAAAGGCACTCCTACTTCTCCATCCACAATCCATAGTCATGTTATATTAGCTGCTACACTCTGCTTAATGGAAAGTACATTCTCAGTGTGTGTGCAACGTCATTATGTATGTGAAGACATAATTTATCAGATTTGGAAGGAAAAGCTTTGGAAAACTATTACTAAATCGCTTTGGTAAAAATCTGTATAATTCCAATCGCTTTATGGAAGGTAGAAGTAATTGATGGGTATGGAAAATATAGATGCTCAGTATATTACACTAAAATGTATTCCTCCCATGTGTTATGTTTTTAAAATGCCTTTTTATTCATGGGTACACGCTCACACTACAATTAGCTCTTCTCGAGGCTGCACTGCAGATAACAACTCAGGAATAGGAAGCAGTTAGTTTTATAATCAGTAGCTAATCAGCCCCCAGGAATATCAGAATATCATCCCCTCAGGGATGCCTGCACCTGTCCTTCAGCTTCCGCCTACAGTAGCTTTGCTCCACTCTCTGATTTCAAACAAGTATGAATACTTTATTTTTGGGCTGTTGCTGATTTGCCATACCTATCCATCTGTTTTCTTCCCCTTAGCCAGTTCATGGTGAGAGTCAGGCTGGAGCTTGTTCCTGGAGCATGCCAGTCTGTTGCAGGCTGCAGGGCTGTTCTTTGGTTTTGTTCTCTCTGGGGTTTCTTCCCCCACTGCTTTGGCAACTTTGTGCGAGAGTTACCCAGGAAAAAAACAAACATGTTAAAACATGATTAAAATCAATGAATGGATGTCTTCTCCAAGACCATAAGATAATTGGAACAAAGCCAAACAGCGTCACTGTGTTTAGTGCATTGTTGGTATTGAACCTGAACCCTCTGCAGTCCTCTCCTGCCATTGTTTTTTCTCACATCTGTGAAGTTTTTCAGGCTTCAAGCCTGAAGAACAAAAACCTACTAATGATAAGTGTCACCGTTTGGATAGCTCATGCTGCAGATTCGCTGGTTATGAAATTTTACAATTACACTATCACAGCCAGCCAATTAGTGATCAACCAGGCTTACTGAGATGCTGCAGAATTCTCAGTCCCCGATAAGAAGACTCCACGGGTTTCCAGTGATCACCTGTCTTCGGCTCTTTGGGTGTTTCAATCAATTATAGGCTGCAAAAGAAATCATCTCGATTATTTATAGGTTCTTGGCTTGTCTTTCCTTTCTTTCAACACAAGGGTGACTCCTTTCACAGCTGTCTCATAATTTTTCTCTTATTTTCATCTCTTTCTATTTTTGGTTTGCATCACTGAGAGAGCTGCATGAGTCTGTTGTGTGAATTTGTTGGAGTTTTTTTTTTTCTTCTTTTTTTACTTTGCCATGTGTGATGCTGCCCTTTATGATGGTGGTTTGTTTGTTTTCCAGGGGCGTCATTAACCCGGTCCCACCCACCAAGAGCAGCCGGTCGTCGACATTACAGTGTGTTCATGTGGCGGAGGGACACAGTAAAGCTGTTTTATGTGTTGACTGCACTGACGACCTGCTGTTCACAGGATCCAAAGGTTAATGCTCACAATCCTCCCTCCTTCCTTCCTTCTTTCACCTCCTGACTCTAATCTTACACCTCTAATCAGTATTCTTCAGATGCCTTCTTGTTACAGCTATGGTAATTTATTACACTTGGACATGGTGTTGTGTTATTATATAACAGCATAACACCACATATAAAAGCCAATAAGGATTAATTAGGATTGTCATATGGTGGATAAATGAGGGGATGGAACATAAATGACATTGTCCAAGCCACAACATTGTTATGGTGATGGAGGTTTTAAGCATAACAAATGGATTTTAATGTGCAGGAAATCTGCTAGAGTGCCAATTTATCCCAGCAGGATTAATTGTGCATTCCAAGTGCAAGAAGGTGCTGTCCAGCTCTGTTTAGTTTTGCTGTCAGTTAAAATGGATTTTGTTTTGTATCCCTTGCACCGTGATAAATTTTATCCAATCAGTTTTGTTGTGGCGCTCTTCAGTTTTGACATCCCGTTCTCAGAAATGTTCTCTGTATTTTAATATTGTCATAAATCACAGTGAAAATGACAAGATGGTGTTTTAATTTGCAGACCGGACCTGTAAGGTGTGGAATCTGGTGACGGGTCAGGAGATAATGTCTCTAGCGGGTCACCCCAACAATGTTGTGTCAGTCCGTTATAGCTCTAGTTTGGTCTTTACCGTCTCTACCTCCTACATCAAAGTCTGGGACATTCGGGACTCGGCCAAATGCATCCGCACACTAACGTGAGTAAGACTATTTATTATGGACTGATGAACATTATGTTCACTTTCCTGGCACACACTTTCTGTATAGTTTCTATATAGCAAACTTACAACCCCGTCAGTTGGTATAGTTAAGCTTTATGTACTTAATATGGATAAAATAATAAGCACTTTAGTTTTCACACTTTTCTCTTGTTTCCCAAATATTTTTCTTTCCAAATCATTGAAAATGTTAAGTTGTACAGTCTATGGATTTGTTATTGTTTTAGCAGTATTTCTTTAGCTTTAAAGAAAATGAACATCAATTTGAATTATACCCTTTAAAGCAGGAGTCCTGCAGGTTTTAGATATCACCCTGGGTCAGCACACCTGAATCAAATGATTAGTTCATTACCAGGCCTCCGGAGAACTTCAAGACATCTTGAGGTGGTAGCTGCCATTTAAATCAGCTCTGTCTGTGAATTGCTACCTTATCGTGGTGGAGGGATTTGTGTATCCCAGCGGATATGTTGTCTGGGGGCTTTTGCCCCCAGGAAGGAGCCTGAGTTAGTGCGTGAGGTTGAGAGGTACCAGCTAGATATTGTCGGGCTCACCTCTACGCATAGCTTGGGCTCTGGAACCAGTCTCCTGGAGAGGGGCTGGACTCTGTCTCAGTCTGGAGTTGCCCCTGGTGAGAGGCGGCGGGCTGGGGTGGGTATTCTAATATCCCCTCGGCTTGCTGGCGGTACGTTGGGGTTTTTCCCGGTGGATTAGAGGGTCTGTTCCCTGCGCCTTAGGGTCGGGGAACGGGTCCTGACTGTCATCTGCGCTTATGCGCCGAGTGGCAGATCAGAGTACCCAGCCTTCTTAGAGTCCCTGGGTGGGGTGCTGGAAAGTGCTCCACCTGGAGACTCTGTTGTCCTGCTGGGAGACTTCAGTGCTCACGTGGGTAACGACAGTGAGACCCGGAGGGGCGTGATTGGGAGGAACGGCCTCCCTGATCTGAACCTGAGCGGTGTTTTGTTATTGGACTTCTGTGCAAATCGAACATAAGAGTGTCCATAAGTGCACGTGGCACCAGGACGCTCTAGCCCGCAGGTCGATGATCGATTTTGTAATCGTATCACCAGACCTGTGACCATATGTTCTGGACACTCAGGTAAAGAGAGGGGCTGAGCTGTCAACTGATCACCACCTGGTGGTGAGTTGGATCAGGCGGCGGGGGAGGACGCTGGACAGACCTGGTGCACCTAAACGCGTAGTGAGGGTGTGCTGGGAACGTCTAGCAGAGGCCCCAGTCCGCGAGATCTTCAACGCACACCTCCGGCAGAGCTTCAACAGCATTCCGAGGGAGACTGGGGACATTGAGTCCGAATGGACCATGTTCAGCGTCTCCATTGCCGAAGCTGCTGCATTGAGCTGCGGCCGCAAGGTGGTTGGTGCCTGCCGTGGTGGTAATCCCCGAACCAAATGGTGGACACCAGAGGTGAAGGGAGCCACCAGGCTGAAGAAGGAGTCCTATCGGGCTTGGTTAGCCTGTGGGACTCCGGAGGCAGCCGACAGGTATCGACAGGCCAAGCGGAATGCGGCTCGGGCAGTGGCTGAAGCAAAAACTCGGGTGTGGGAGGAGTTCGGAGAGGCCATGGAAAAAGACTTTCGGACTGCCTCGAAGAGATTCTGGCAAACCGTCAGGCGTCTCAGGAGGGGAAAGCGGTGCTCTACCTGCACTGTGTATAGTGCTGGCGGAGCGCTGCTGACGTCGACTGAGAAAATTGTCAGGCGGTGGAAGGAATACTTCGAGGACCTCCTTAATCCCACTGACACGTCTTCCGAGGAGGAAGCAGAGTCTGGGGATGAGGGGAATGACCCGCCAATTTCCGGGGGCGAGGTCACTGAGGCAGTTAAACAACTCCTTGGTGGCAGAGCCCCTGGTGTTGATGAGGTCCGCCCCGAGTTCCTGAAGGCTCTGGACGTTGTAGGGCTGTCCTGGTTGACACGCCTCTGCAATGTTGCGTGGAGATCAGGGGCAGTACCCCTGGACTGGCAGACCGGGGTGGTGGTCCCCATCTTTAAGAAGGGGGACCGGAGGGTGTGTTCCAACTACAGGGGGATCACACTCCTCAGCCTCCCTGGGAAAGTCTATGCCAGGGTGCTGGAAAGGAGAGTTCGTCCGCTAGTCGAACCTCGGATACAGGAGGAACAATGCGGTTTTCGTCCTGGTCGTGGAACACTGGACCAGCTCTTTATCCTCTCAGGATACTTGAGGGTGCATGGGAGTTTGCCCAACCAGTCTACATGTGTTTTGTGGACTTGGAGAAGGCATTCGACCGTGTCCCTCGGGGTGTCCTGTGGGAGGTGTTGCGGGAGTATGGGGTGTCTGGCCCATTGCTACGGGCCATTCGATCCCTATACAACCGTTGCAAGAGCTTGGTTCGCATTGCCGGCAATAAGTCGGACTCGTTCCCGGTGGGTGATGGGCTCCGCCAGGGCTGCCCTTTGTCACCGTTCTGTTCATAATTTTTATGGACAGGATTTCTAGGCGCAGCCAAGTGGCGGAGGGCTTTCACTTCGGTGGCCTCAGAATCTCATCTCTGCTTTTGCGGATGATGTGGTTCTGTTGGCTTCATCGGGTGAGGGCCTCCAGCTCGCACTGGAACGGTTCGCAGCCGAGTGTGAAGCAGCGGGAATGAGGATCAGCACCTCCAAATCTGAGGCCATGGTTCTCAGCCGGAAAAGGGTGGAGTGCCCACTCCGGGTCGGGGATGAGTTCCTGCCCCAAGTGGAGGAGTTCAAGTATCTCGGGGTCTTGTTCGCGAGTGATGGGAGAAGGGAGCCGGAGATCGACAGACGGATTGGGGCTGCAGCTGCAGTAATGCGGACGCTGCACCGGTCCGTCGTGGTGAAGAGGGAGCTGAGTGTAAAAGCGAAGCTCTCAATTTACCGGTCGATCTACGTCCCTACCCTCACCTATGGCCACGAGCTGTGGGTAGTGACCGAAAGAACGAGATCGCGGATACAAGCGGCAGAAATGAGCTTCCTCCGAAGGGTGGCTGGCCTCTCCCTTAGAGATAGGGTGAGAAGTTCGGCCATCCGAGGAGGGGCTCAGAGTAGAGCAGCTGCTGCTCCACATCGAAAGGAGCCAGCTGAGGTGGTTCGGGCATCTGACAAGGATGCCCCCTGGGCGCCTCCTGGGTGAGGTGTTCCAGGCATGTCCCACCGGGAGGAGGCCCCGGGGCAGACCCAGGACACGCTGGAGAGATTATATCTCTCGGCTGGCCTGGGAACGCCTTGGTGTTCCCCCGGATAAGCTGGAGGAGGTGGCTGGGGAGAGGGAGGTCTGGGCTTCTCTGCTTAGGCTGCTGCCCCCGCGACCCGGCCCTGGATAAAGCGGATGAAGATGGATGGATGGTGTATGATCAAGGACACGTCTAAAACCTGCAGGACACCGGCCCTTGAGGCCTGGAGCTGGACACTCCTGTTTTTAAAGTTACACCTCCTGTAATGCTAATTATGCCTAATTGTTGCATATTTGTACATATTTTATTCATATATCTTCAGGTCTTCTGGTCAAGTTAATGTTGGGGATGTCTGTGCGTCCAACACCAGCCGGACAGTCACCATCCCTGCAGGAGAGAATCAGATCAACCAGATTGCGCTCAACCCCAATGGCACAGTCCTGTACGCTGCTGCTGGAAACTCTGTCAGGGTCTGGGACCTGAGAAGGTAAGCAGAGATACTCAAAATGAATGCAAAAGTAATATCCAGACAGTGGGTTAGCAGGGTGGCAGTCAGTCTGATTTAACAATCTGAGGGATTTTTCTTAAGTGAAATATCGTACTTTTTGTGTGGATTGTTTGGAGTTTGGTACAGATTATCGTGACACTTCGTTTTTATTTCCCTCTGCCAGCACAGTTGTTTTTGTTAACCTTATTTTGCTTGTCATTCTGTCTGTAAATATAACGTCACACAACAGCTTGAAAAGTTTTAAATGAATACTGATAAAAGTTAAAACCCCATTCTACACCACTACAACCTCTAAAATATGTCTTACATCCACCAATGTCTTCAAAATTGACTTAATGAATTATTATAAACTATGTGCATTACAGTAAGAAGTTATAACTCTCATAATTATAACTCATAACAAAAAACATTTCAGTAGATGCAGAAAGTTCCTCATTATGCTTTTTATTTTGTTAAAAAAACAACAACCTTCGATCAAAAATGGGCACTGCCTTAATTTGTTTTTATATTTTAACTAACCAAGATTCAAACATTTTTGGATGTATCTGGTCTTGATTTCAAAATGCAAAACGGCATGGTGGAAGTGGGTCAACAGACCAATTTTCAGATAAATGGTCTTTAAAGTATTTCCTTAAAAAGGTAACATTTAACAGCAGTTTGTATGCATGTAAGGTTTTTAGGCAAAGTGAAGATTGTTGAGGAGAAAAGGTTTTGAGAGGGAGATGTGACCCAGCTGAGAAATGGTCAGACCCTTGTGTAACAGGAGCATTTGAAGAAGTCTAGAGTTTTAAAAGGAGGACGCCAAATTTACGTCTGGGATTTACTTTTTATAGGCGTAGATGAAAGTTTGATCAAAACCTTTTTCTTTTATTTTTTTTTTTCCTAAAACGTGTTGTATGGAGGTATTGATAAACACATGCACATCAATAACACTGACCGTGTGTTTATGATTTCCCCTGACATTTTCAGATGCATGGCATACACACTTCATTAGATAGTACAAACTCCAATTTCATTGTGTTGTCTTAGAACTTAATTGTGTATGAAAACCTGACAAGCATCCATTTCAAAGCCGTCACGCCTTTTTGACAGCTGCCTGATATTAGCTGTGATGAATTGCCTCTTTGTTCATCTTAGGAACGTAACAGTCAGTAAGTGGTACTTTGGATGATTAAACTAACTGTGAATCAATATTCTGTATAAGAACGGTCCCATTTTCTCTGAGACAGAACTCAGCAAACCTCATTTTTACATATTTTCATGAGTGATATATTAAGTATATCATTACTTTAGTAATATCTTCTCTTTGTACTTTGATTTGATACATGTATTTAAGTTTTATTTTGGCATTTCCCCTGTGGTATTGGCTTGACAGTTTAACAAAAGACTCATTAACATTTCCTTTCCTGCATTAGGTTTGCCTCTACTGGAAAGCTTACTGGTCACCTTGGTCCAGTTATGTGCTTGACTGTGGATCAGTCTGGAAACAGCCAAGACCTGGTTATCACTGGCTCCAAGGACCATTACATTAAGGTGTGTTTCAGGCTTTCAAACTGCTGCTCTTCACATCTCTGTTGTTCACTTGTTTCTTGAGGCAGATGATAAAGTGAGATTCTTTGTGCAGCTGAGTCATCCAGTAATGCAATATAAGGACAGCTTAGGTTAGACATGCTACATAACCCATGTTTAACTGATTTTACTTATCTTTTGTTATAATAATCCTTATGTTCAGATGCATATCATCCCTTTTAACATGTATTGTTTTTGCTGTTGCAGCTGTTTGACGTGACTGAAGGCTCTCTGGGAAGCATCAGCCCTACACACAACTTTGAACCACCACATTACGACGGTATCGAGTCTCTGGTAATCCAAGGGGACATTTTCTTCAGCGGCTCCCGAGACAATGGCATCAAAAAGTGGGACCTAGACCGTAAAGACCTACTGCAGGTACTGGATGATCAATGCAAAAAGAAATATGGATAGGAGACATTCAGATGTTTGTTCCATTTGATGCAATATAGATTTTTTTTTTTTCATTTTGATTTTATAACTGTCAAAAGTAGCCTAAAATATTTTTATTTCCTCTTTTTTTATCACCATTATTGTCTTTCCAGAGATTTTCTCCTGGAAAACCTGCTGTAAATCAATGTGCAGAAAACTGCCCTTTCTGTCACATTCTTTGTCACATAATGGCGGATAGTAAAGTAAAAGTACAGTTTTCACATGACTGTACATTAAGAAAAAGATGTCTTTCCATATGATACCCTCAAGTTACTGTAGCGATTGCATCATTATGATCATAATCTTTCAGTAAGTTACAAAAACATCAACCATTCATGACATTCTCACTATTAACCATACTGCTATGCATCTCTGTGCTCAGCAAGTCCCAAATGCTCACCGTGACTGGGTTTGTGCACTTGGTGTCGTCCCCGGATCACCAGCCTTGCTGAGTGGATGCAGAGGCGGGGTGCTCAAGCTGTGGCACACAGACACTCTAGGGACACTGGGGGAGCTCAAGGGTCACGAGAGCCCCATCAACAGCATCTCTGCCAACAGCAGCCACCTGTTCACCGCCTCAGAGTGAGTTTTCCACACACACTGACACACATGCTTAGGCTCTCTGTTTGTCTCCAGAGAGGGAGACAAACAACTGTTTGTTTGTGTCTCTCTGGATATGAGGGAAAACAACTTCACCTGAGGCTCATATACACATGGGTAACAAATTAAAGTAAAAACATGAGCATTGACCCTGTGGTGAGTGGGTTCCATTGGGTCTGTTACGCTGCGAGCGACATTCTGCCAGCAGAGTTTAGATCCACTTGTCCTTATAAAGCAGGGTTTCCCAGAGTTTTGATGACTGAGTGACACTTTAGGGAGTGAGATGGATTCAGAGTTGTACAAGGAAAAATGAATACAAATGTCATGTACCATTATTGTTTCGAGGGAGGGAGATGAGGCTTTATGTTGATGATAACCCTTATTTTGCTCTTTTCCCCCCCCTTAAACTATCAGTGAATTGGCTGTTAAATTTTTTCTTCTTGGCTGTATTAGTTTATATTAGGTTTGGTCTGGTCTGCTAAGACAACCAAGAACAGAAGTCAAACTGGAGAGAAATGCTTCATTGGTCTTTGTTCTGTTAAATCATAGTATGACAAAACTGTAGTGCAATCTTTAGGTAAATGGTAATGGTAAATGGTCTGTATTTGTATAGCGCTTTTACTAGTCCCGCCTAGGGACCCCAAAGCGCTTTACACATCCAGTCATCCACCCATTCACACATTCACACACTGGTGGAGGCAAGCTACAGTTGTAGCCACAGCTGCCCTGGGGCGCACTGACAGAAGCGAGGCTGCCATATCGCGCCATCGGCCCTTCTGGCCAACACAATTAGGCGGTAGGTGAAGTGTCTTGCCCAACGACACAACGACCGAGACTGTCCGAGCCGGGGCTCGAACTTTCCGATTACAAGGCGAACTCCCAACTCTTGAGCCACGATCGCCCTAGGTAACACACAAATGTTAAAAACACCTCCAGCTCATGTTCCATGCTGTGAGAGAGCTGGCCTTAGGAAAGGGTTGCTGCAAATTCACACACATTTTCTCTTCTGGGTGATCTTTTGTCCTCTGATGAAACATTTCTTTCTGATCGGAGTGTTCTTTTCCTAGATGACAGATTTCCATCCAACCAGTAGTTTCAGTGAGCCTTTCTAGTGGCTTATAATGGATCAGGAGTTCACTGAAATACCTTATATTGGCTTTCCCCTTTAATTTGGCACCCCTCTACACGTATTTATGTATGTGATCAGCAAATTACATATACATATTGGTAATTTTATACGTAAATTCCAAGTAAAAAGTCTTCAAATCAGTGAAAATGTAAAGACATTAAGAGGATATGGAATATATTATAACTTTTGTGTCTTTGTGTCTTGCAGTGATCGGACTGTGAAGATCTGGCGTGCACGTGGTGGACTGGATGGCACCTTGGAAGTGGTTGACAGTGTAGACGAGGTTGCAAGTAACTGAACACGGTACCACTTGCCTGGTTTGACTCTAGAAGGACGTAAAGGCACTCCTGCCCTGCACTTTGACCCCTTAACTATCAAGCCTAAACGACGCACCTTCCATATCATGTGACGTTCATGACTGAGCCAACAGGAAACGGTAATCTCATCACAGTGGAAGCTAACGCATTAGTTCTTTTCTTTGACTCTGTATGCTTAGAGGATTTTGCTAATCAGGATTTAGTTAACTGCATTGTTAATGACTTCTATTTCTCTCTTCTTGCGCTTTAGACGGTTTGTCATTATTGTCATCGTTATAAGAACTTATATTCACAAGATACTATAGGATGTGGTGAACACACAGTAGACACTATCAGTGCAGCTCTGCTTACATGCAGCACAGTGCAACGATACAACACAGGCAACCCTGCCAAAAAAGGAAGTGGTGTTTTGTTGTCAGAGTACAGAAATACATACGTGCAGCAGAGCTAATGGGTTGGTAGCTGGTCTTCACAACCCACTTCTCTACTTTGTTGAGATTGTTTCTCTGCACTTGAAACAGAAGTGTTATTCCATCAGTCCTGTTTCCAAGAGCAAGAAAAGTGGCTGTGTGTGAGAAAGAAATCATTCTACCCCTTAACATCCTGCTCTAGCTTCTGTGCTCCCTTCAGTTTCTGCAGCAGCTTTAGATCAGTGACCAAAAATGTGTAACGTGTTGTTATTGCTGTCCTCAGCTGGACTTGTAAACAGAACACACTTTAGAGTAGCTAAAGTTTGACATTTAGGGAAATAAGCTCACTTGCTTTATACACTGCATGTCTTTTGACTGTGGGAGGAATCCAGAGTTCCTGGGTTTTCAGGTACAACCCAGAGCTTGAACGGCAGTTTAGTGAAGGAGTCTTCAGTGTCAAGTCAAGAAGCATGATCATCATTACCCTTTAGTCATAAAAGGCGGATGGGGTACTGTTGTCACCCTGTCAGAGGGGCACCATGGAGAGCCATTATAACTTCAGAACAAGATGACATAGGATTTCAAATTGATACCATACGTGTAGCTACTAAAACTCTCAGATGAGTTGAAATCTAGTTGACAAGGATTTTGAAATTTATACAATAGGTGCATCTACTGGATGTCTGTAGGGTAGTTTTATTCTGCATTCACTGGGCTGTGCGCGCCAAGAATTCATCTTCTGGGGGTCAGGCTGTACATCCTGAAGGGTCTGAGGAACAAGACTGAGTAGAAACGAACCAAACTTAAAGAATCTTTGCTCAACAACTCAACAACTCCCATACTCACAAGGTTTAAAGCTTATAATGCTAAGATTTTGACATAGTGGAGGCAGTGCATCACAGGTGTGCAAGTGGTCAGGAAAGGTTTTATAATAATGACAGCCATTTGAAGACCTATGAGGGACAATTGAGCAAATACAGTAAAAATCTTGAATTTATCTGGTAAGTGGTACAGTGGTTAACACAGGCCCCTCACAGGAATCTGGAAGCTGACTGAGGCCTCTGTGTTCCTGTGTGGATTGTTTCTGGGTTTCTGCACCCTCCCACAGCTTAAAGACATGCACGATGAATGAAATTGGGGAATCTAAATTTTCCAAAGGCATAAATGTGAGAAAATTAATTGATGAAGAATTTGCCTGGTGCAGTTTTTGTTTTTTAATTGGTGGAACTTTATCATAGGATCTCATATACCTTTAACCGCTGAGCACATGTAAAAAAACCAAACAAAAATCAACACAATTAGTCTCTGAGATTCACTTAATCCTTAAATGTGAGCAGGTTGAGCACTGATGAAAGTCTGCACTTGTTGTCCATGTTTCATTGTGTGCACAAATATATCTTCACTCTTCACACATGCTGGTAACACTCACTAAACCTACACTGCTAAGTTGTGGTCTAATTCCCATGCTGCTAAGACACGTTCACCTTCCCAACCCTATAAGAGGGCTTCTTGTCGTGGGCTCCAGGTGAGGTCCACTCAGTACCGTAGTTGTGTATGTGTGTATATAAGTGTAACGCTATCTCTTTGTTGTTGAGAGGAGAGGCCTTCTGACGCAACCAGTGTTATTTTCCTGACTATTGACTCAACATCTGTCTCTGTTCTGATCTTCGTGGGGCCTTCCTGGAGGCACTCGTGGTCTCTGCAGTTTAACTGACCTGCCTGTCATGATTGTGCTGTCATTTATGAATGTTTGGTGAAACAGCAGCTGTAGGAATTATTCAACTACATATGAAATGTATGTAAACAATGTCTGTTCAAAACAAAAAACTAATCTGACTGAATGTTAGTTTTGTGGGACCACCGATCTGAACGTAGTCTCACACTAGAGCCCAGAGGACCGTGAATGGCACAAAGACTGACGAGTGCATCAGTAATGCTTTGGACTGAGCTTATCCTTCATACAGGTGGCAGGTCACGTTTAGTGGCCTTTGGTTAGTTTCTTTTCTTTGTTTTGTTTGTTATGCCCTTCTTCTTCCCTGTACCCATGACGCACCCCCTCCTGTTTTAGGAGCCATTCCCCAATGGCGGACTCTGTAGCGATTCTAATGTCAGATGCCTGGTCAGAATAAATGCCATCTGTCAAAAACAACCATCTGTGTGTGATTTTCTTGGTTCTGTATTCTTACATACTATATATTATTTTTTACTATTAATATATCTGTAGGCTGATTTATTCAAGCAAACAAACTACCTCTAAATGTGTCTTTGGTTTTTACAAATAAGTTTGATAACTCAATATTTAATTTTTTATTTTTCTCCTGGACATCCTTAATTTTTCATCTTCTTAAAAAGTGGAATGCTAACCTGCTTCATTGCTGTGTTCAAGCTATCAGCTGGCCTGTGGGAACCAGGCTACGATATGACATTTGGCTACAAGAGGGCAATAGTTCATAGCCAGTGATAAACTGGGGAGAAGAATCAAGGTTAGGATGCCATTGTTGCTACGTTTGCTTCATCCTCTGAGTAATAAATGACAAATCAGAAGGAATTGATCTGAGGTGGAAGACTATCTGAGATCTCTGCAGAGGTGTACACTGGTGTGCCCACTGTATCCTAACAACCCTCCTTACCTGGAGACTCCTCCAGGAGGAAACAGAGTTCTTCATTTTATTGATTTGGCAGCACTTCACCTTAAGGGTCCCTTTATTTACTATTTATAGTCATTTCTTCCTCAACTCCCTCAGACTGGACCTCCTCCTCTCCTTTTCCTTCAGATAACACTCTTATTATTTACACTTTTACTTAGTGGTTAAGTGGTTTTAACAGAAACTAACCCCGTGTTGTGGACTTTCAAGCCAACTTTAACAATATTATGTGCAATACTATCATTTTCTTTTTTTGTGCATTTATTGCTATTTTGGAGCTCTTAGAAATGTTAAACTTTCCCCAAATCTTCAAGTTAGACAGATTTAAGGTTCCTCCTAAGATGATCTTTCCAAACTTTCTATAGATGTTTTGTTTTTTTTCCTTTTCTGCACACTGTAAAGCTACACTCTACAGAGCGGATGGCCATCTGACTGCTTTCAGAAATTAAACTGGTGAAAACTGGGCACAAGATGGCAGTAGTGGGTAACACATGCAAAACTGAACAGTGACAGTCAATGTAAGGACTACAATGATCCTCTACCTCCACAGATGCAGTTTGCAAAACTCCAAGGCAGTTGTCTAATATTCCACATTGTCCTACTTGAAGATGCCAGTTCAAACCAGGTCTCTGGAGATCCCTGTGTGGTTTCAATTAAAACTGATCCTTTACACCCTGTAGATGTAATTGTCCTCTTTAGTTTCAGTACACCTTCATCTTGTTTTACTGTATTTCAGCATTGTAAATCCTTCATATTTTAGAGTTTTCATTTAATCCAGTTTCACTCCTGAGATCATGAGAAAAACATGAGACGGACGTCAGACAGCAGATCAGACGACCATAAATCGAAGCAAATGGATGGAAAATTTCGTTTAAAACCAGCCTCTGTAAAACTGACGGCGTTTTTATAGGAGACTTCTTTACAATACATTTATTAGTATACGGTTTCCTCTGAGCTGAGTCCTACATTTTCAGTGCACTATGTACTAATAAAGGACTATGTACTAATAATTAACAATTTTCTCCTGCATATGCATTTTTATTATTACTACTACAACGGTAATTACTTGATTATCACTTGGAGCATTATTAATTTGATTATCTTTGTGTAGCAAGTAAGCTGCTCCTTCCTCGGGCAGATTTCAGTTTCTACCTGCAAATGTTTTACAGCAAACAGCTGTTTGGTGTGTTTACGCTTGTGTTGTTGAATAAAGATTCAGAGGAAAATCCTGAGCCTTTAGTAACAAGCAAGTACTGCTAATTAGTTTATGCTCATTGTTGATGATAAATAAAAAAAAAAAACAGTTTGTACAGATGAGTCTAATTTTAGAAAGTGATAACAGTGGACTTATTACGTAAGTCTTATTTTTTAACTAATGACTCAAAATTTAAATTGATTATTTTAATAAGTGTTGATGTTAAATTAAAAAAAACAAAAAAAAAAAACTAAAAGAGCCTGGGCAGTTTTGGGGGAAACAGAAAAAAGTCTCTGGTCAGATGAAAGAAATATTAACTTGTACCAAAATGCTGGGAAGAGAAAAGTATGGGGGAAAATGTGCGGACAATCCCCGTCAGTATAGCACAGTACTTGAGTGAGCTAGAGAAGACTTCTAGATGCTGACCGCAATGATCCCATTAGTGTGACACATCATTAATTGTGTATTCTGGGTTTATAGGTTGTTTCATCCATTTGTCACAAGACGCTCTCTGCCGATCACAGAATGATTCTGTGAGCTGAGGTAAGCTCACCGCAGAATGATCAGAGTGTGTCGCGTGGTGCACAGGTTACTTGGAAGCCCGCACGTTCTCCTTCCACTACAACCACTGACTGCTTCTTTCAGCTACAATGGTGAGCTGTGTGATTACATCAGTTACACTGGTTGTATCCTTTTGTAAGATAGGTGGTTGGTAGGAATCGTATCATCTAAAGCAAATGACAACAAATTTGTTTAGAAGATGTTTAATTATAGGCTTTGCTATTGTCTAATGAACACTCAAATGTTTGCACATGACTGTGGAGGGGCCCGACAGTGGGAAGCACTGAGATGCCCGGGGAAATAACACTGAATAAAAAGGACAAGAATTACTCACCTCCCAACAGCATTTTACTCCTGTAACTGTAACATGATGAATAAATAATAGCTTCTGCTTCCACCACTATAGAAGTACAAATACACTCTGATACTACATAGATAAGGCTGTAGGACACTGTATAACATAACTGGAAAACCCTACATTTGGACTGCTTAAATAAAGGTGACTTGACTGACATCAATCTGAACCAGCGCCTAACATATCAAATCATAACACATCTGCAGCACTGTCTGACAGGCAGC